ATTTTGTGCAATGACATGTTGTCGCAAATACTATAATTTTAGCAACGACAAATGTGGTCGCTAATAATATCGTCGCTAATAACCCTTTTTGTTGTAGTGAGAGTCGGTAGATTGGAAAAAAAAAATAACAGGGTGATTATTTAGGGAAATGTTGAATTTTGAAAACGTAATTAAATGATGTCCAAAATTTTTAACAGAAAAATTAACATTTTAGATACCAAAATCATTTAGGGAACTGCCGAATTTGGAGAGGTAATTAAAAAATGTCCGCTTATTAAAATAAAAATAAAAAGTCAAAACTTTTTACATGAAAAAAAATACTGTTTTTGGAAAATTTATGTTTACGAGTATAATATAATCGATAATATTTTAATGTTTATTGAGTAAAATAATTAGTGATTCATATTGGCTTCAATAAATTTGTAAATATAATGTCTGTATTATTACGAAAGTAACGTGGTCGCCTAGGTCGCCTACATAGTAGTACAATTCTCTTTTTCCTCAAGTGAGGACAAGTATTGACTTGAGGATTTTCCAAGTTGTATTGAATTCTCTATAATGGCTACATGTGAGTTTTTATCTAATAAAAGTTCATTTCCCTTTCAAGAAAAAAGAAATACAAACAAAAACTTAGACATTACTACGATGTCAGTCCACTTAGGCCATCTCTAATGTAAAGACAAATATTAACTGTATATTTAACATTAAAAAGTATAATATATATATTATTTTCAATTTTATTTTAATGCATAATGCTATTTAAAATGTTATTTTTTTCTATAATCATTAAGTTTTGAAAATTGTAAAAGTAAAATTTTAGTTTTAAAATAGTTAGAAAATATAAAAATTACGATGATTACATGAAAAAGTATATATTTCGATCAATAGCAATTAAATACTAAATTTTTTATATGTTATACTTGATGAAAAATTTACCACAAAATATAACATATAAAAAATTCGGCACAATAAATAACATTATATTAAAGAGTATTTTTTACACTAAAATATTATTTATAATTAATACTAATTATAGCATTATATTTAAGATGCTCTTATAAGTTATTTTTAGTAATTTTAACCTCAAAAGTCGTGTATTAAAAAGAGAAAATTGAATGATGGAGGAGATGGAAGATGCTGAGAGCAAAAGTTGTAGTAAACAAAGAAAAAAAGAGTTTATAAGTAAATAAGGTTAAAATTGGTGCTGTTCATGATGTTGGGGTAATTTCTATAGAGCCAGTGAGATAATTACATGATATGAAATTGTCTCAAAATTCAGGTTCCGTTTATTTCACCGATTCGAGTTTAGAATTTGAGTTTTATTACAATAAAAAATTCTCAGAAACAGCCACATTTAACTTTTTTACTACAATAAAAAAATTTTATATAAAATTACATATCAATTTAAATTAAAAATTTTAATTAACGAACTAAGCAGATCCAGTTTAAAGACCACAATATCACATACAAAAGAGTTGTATTATTTTTTCCTCACGTAGTAGCTGTTGTCCTGAACAGCAAAAGATGATGAGAGTTCTTAAAGTCCCATGTGTCGGCAGCTCATTGTGTTGGTCTATGACTAATTTGGTTCATGCTAGGGCCCTCAATCTGGCATATTGTCCAAAATTAGTTATTTTTGCTTTCATTCTCAAGTTCCCATATTTGTCTCTGTTCGTTTTGGTTTTTAATGACCAATTGGAGACGGCCTTTTTTGTTTTTTTTCGTGTAAGGTCATTTAAGGAATTCTGAATTTCGAGCCTACAGGCTACAACCACCAGATATTCATTACTACATTGAATACAAGCAACGAAAAAAAAAAAAAGAGTTTTATTATTATTATTATTAAGAAAATAGTAAGAAATAAATTGATACGAAAAGTTTAAGAAAATATATAAGTCAACTTTTAATTATAGAAATTAATAGATTATAACTTGTCAAGTTATGGTTCATAACTAGATAAGTTATGGACAAACTTGTCAAGTTATGGTTCATAGCCAGACAAGTTATGGACAAAAACTGAGAATAACTTGTCAATTTATGGTTCATAACCAAACAAGTTATGGAGGAAAACAGTAATTTGGCATATTTATTAACTTATGTAAACTATTGGCCTATTAATTAACTTATGTAAACCATTGGCCTATTAATTTTAATTCATCTCAAATCTTTGCCTATTTTCCTCTTTCTCCCTTATTATTATTATTTTTTTTTTAAGAAGAAGAAGAAGAAGAAACAATCTACATCTAGATAATCCTCGTGATTTTATCAGAGTATCCTGTTTGATGACGGTTTCTTGATAAGAAGTATCATTACGACCAAAAGGCCCATTAACAAAAAAATTGAATTTTAATTTTTACCATTTATTTTTTATTAATATATTTTTTAGTTAAATAATTATATTAATAAAAGGGTATTAATTAAGAATAACGTGTAGAAATTGCTAAATTAAATTTAAAATGAAAAATGCAGTAATTTTTTCAATTAAAGTGGGTGTGGTCTGCGGTGTTGTGGGCGTGTATTGTCGACAAACATGCTTTGATATTGCTAAATTAAATTTAAAATGAAAAATAGATTTCCATTAATAAAGAAGTTTCATTTAGCCAAGAAATGTCTCCTTAAATACACATGTAGCAGCGACAATTCAGAACATCATCATCAAAAGTCATGCTTACCACATCATCCAATTGACAGGGGGCAACCGACCAACGACGATGACATATATGTTTGCGGCAACTAAAAATTTTGCAGACCACAGGTGTTGTTATCACGAAAAGATTCAATAAACGAGTTCTTAACGGGTAATCAGCAAAATGTCAGTGCTAAAAATCCTAATTGTTGTAGTAAAACTCCTTGGAGTTGAAAGTCGAGATCCAAATTGAAACAAATTCTATTCATAGAAACCAAAAATTAAAAGTTAACAAAAGAAAAAAAAACAAAAGTAAATGAGCATGCGTAGACTTTGCGGAGAAACTATGGCTAATTTGTAACTTAATAGAGGAATATTTAGAGGTAGAGAGAGGATAATGAATTGTCCGCGAATGGAGATGTATTGGAAAAAGATAAGGTATCATTCAGGTTATATAAAACGCTTTAGATGTCACTTCTCAACCAACTTGTTGGAGTTCACTTTGTCGTTACGTTGTCTAATTGTGGAAAGAGTTATACTTCTTGATTAGTTATTATCTCCGAACAATGACCAAAGACAGAAAGAGGGCAAAAATAAATAAATCTACAATAAGACTAGTTAACAACTTATACCACACTTGTAAGCTAGTACAATTGATCAATGGATGAACACTTGGCAAATGAAGAACACCTACAATTTCAAGAAAAAAAAAAAAAAAAAGAGGTAAAGAATCAGCCAAGATTCTAATGCGTCCCATTTGTTACCATTCAGAAAAGATACACACGACTTTTTTTTTTTTTTTTCTTTCTAAAGGCTCTCAGGTAATAAAATGCCTTTTCAATAAAAGGGTGTCAAGTACTAGAATTGTTTGATCCATCATTAATCATCGGGAATATAAGGTAAGGAAAAAAGATTACGGAGAACTTTAAAAATGATCTTGGTTCAGGTACAAATAATTGAAAAAAGAACGAAAGAGAAAGAATACAGGTGTTAGAGAAAAGGTTACCAAACCAACGTAAACTAGGTCTCTCACGTCTACTTGGATTGTGTAGTCCATTCGAACATTATAACGGGCCCTTTTATGGCCCGAGCTGTATATCAATATGAAGATACCTAGCCTTTAGCCCCCCATCCGGACCCCAAAATGGGACCAGTTTGCGTGCAAACTCATGCAAGGAGTGTAACGAAAAAAAAGAAATTAAAAAGATTTAAAAAAAAAAAAAGGGAAATTGTGATTTTTGACTACGTGAGGATTCTCAATATTAGATGCTCCTGTTTTTGTCTCAAAACAGGTTATGAGATTTGGAGCTGAGTATAACGGATTATTAAGGCCTCGTTCATTTCACCAATTTAAGTTATTAATTCCAGTTTTACTACAATTAAAAGCTCTTATAAAAAGTCACATTTAATTTTTTTATTACAGTTAAAAGCTCTCACAAAAAGTCACATATTAACTCGAATTAAAAACTCGAATCGACGAACTAAACGAGGCCTAAATAGCAGCTGTGGTCAAAAAGTTGGATGGTGATTAGTGCGTGCATTTGTTGTCCGGCAGGTTGAGGTTAAATCCTTTGCGTTAAGTTTGATTGGGCAAAAGAATGCGGCTATAAATTCCGATCGAGTGGAGTCTAATGTCTTGACAATTATTCAAGTTCTGAAGACTAATTAGTTTTATTATAATGATGTTTAGTGCTTTTGTTGTCAAATGTGCCTAGCTTATTATCCTTTCTTAAGAGTTAAAATGGGCGATTTATTTTGGAAGGACGTCGTCGTCATCAACACCGTCATTAGAAGAATGCCTTAGAAAGGAGCGTTGACTTTAGGATAATCGTTACAGTGGGAAACGTATAAAATGTACGCTTAGGTAAGATAAGACAACAATTCCGGTAGTCACATCATAAGTATTACAATGGACAACAATGTGACCCAGAGTGAGGTTGAAACTTGAAACTAGATTATATATGATGAACAGGAATTCAACATAACTTATTACCACATATTATCATTAATATTAAAATAGTTATTTTTATTTTTATTTTTTTGAGACCTTAGACCATGTTGCTTACCCAATGAAATGATTTTCTATACTGGTATCGGAAGAATGTTGTTGATGGTCGATTTTCATACATTTTCTCACACAACAAATGTCGTGGAGAAGCATGCTTAATAAAGAATTGGAAAAACCAACATCTTCATAAATTTTACACAACACGTGCTACTATTGAATCCGTGAGTGGAGAATAAAACATCTGAATTTTCTTTTTTAGTCCCACAATTTTTTTTTTAACTATAAAATTATTTAAATTGAGGGAGAACAACAACAACTTTAACCATACATTTAAAATAAGTATATATATGTATTCTATATAAAAACTTTGGGAAATGCAAAAAACGTAGAGAAGATTAATTACACAGTCTAGTACACACAGACAGCAATTATTAAATTTGAGGCAACTGTTGAAACAAAGAAGCACAGTACTTGAGCACACGCACACACAAGTGCCCTTAAGGTGCGGGGTTACAACATAAATCGACAAATTAATAGAGATGGTCCATCGGCCAAACAACTAAAATAGGAAATTCACCGATTCTTATCGAAGCAAAGCGTACCGTATTCGATGAAGTTAATTACGGCCATTATATATATTTTCATGGCAACCATCCTGCTGGCATGTAGTTATTCACGCTTGGGCCTGCTGTGACCACTGATATTGTACTATCCGCCTGATATCTGCAATATTTAACAAGTAACTAAGACCACTGCTTTTGCTTCAGCACAATAAAAATGAAGTGAAATTGATAAATACTCATAATAAATTTGGAACATTTCCTTTTTGTCCCTAACTTCTTTTAGTTGTCAAATTAAATTGTATTCTATATAAACAGTTAGAAACGACTTGAAGGACTCTTCTTCTACTCTTTTGTAGATTATCATACTGCGAGAAGTAAAAACTGATACCACATGAAACTAACTTTTCCTTTCGGTTTCAATATTGATGACTTCCTAGATCCATATTACAAAAAAAGAAAAGGCACTAGAATTTCAAAGACCAAATAGCCTTAATGTATCTTGACAAGGGAAAACTGTAGTTATTCCTAGCATCTACACTAAAGGGTAAAATTTAAGCCTTGACCTTTTCCCTGGAATGCCTGGAAGCTATATACATAACAAGCATCTTAGACCTTCTCCTCTAGGAAAAGGCATGTAAATTCTTTGTTTAGTATGCTAAATTTAGCACATTGGTTTCACGTCATGCTCCAGATAGTCAATGATAAACACAATGCTATTTCAGCTTTTATTCCAATTTGTTTCTCAAAACAAAACATCAACTACCAACTATCTAATTAACTATTGAATAAAAAATTATTCTAGTGGCAAATTTGAAATTTGAGCAAGTAGATGCTATATGATGTATTATTTTTGGTGTCAAATTTGACACAAAAGATATAGGATGTTCTAAAATATAGACTAAATTATCATACCATTGGACCAAAAAAAATTACTTATATACTAAAATATAGCATTAATATGAGAAATAAGATGTCCATTGCTATTGTTCTTAGTATGCATACATATAAACTTGGAAAAACGTACTTTATTTTAGTTTTCTGATCATATAGGTATATATGTAAAATATGTGGTACATACCCAATTTGTAAGGTGGGTTCACACTCTAAGGGGTGATAGAAGATATCACCCTGAGCTTGAACAGGTTGCCGGCAATATCCCACGTCGTCAGCAGCCGGATTCAGTTGGAGTGAGCTGAGTTGGTATCCTTCCACCAGCTGCAAAGTATCAGTCTAAAAGTCATGTCCATACTGTTTCTTATGGAGTGTGTATAATTTTCTTTTTTTGCTACAGCTATATAGAAGGAGAAAGACAAAAAGAAAGAAAAATAAAACAAACTAATTAATTAATTAACTATGTCGTAAACCTCACTCCTGTTCACCCTCAACGTAAATTTTATTCTACTATAAAACAACAATGCTATTAAAACAAAGAAAATTTAAACTAATAACAGTATAACACCCATATCCCCATTCCTAACATTTAGTAATTTGAAACAGTTGAAATATTTGTTGCTCACTAATTTCAAAAAAAGAAAAAAAAAGTTTGTTGCTCACCCTTTGTTTCAGGGTCCTATTAGTTTCGTTAAGCATGTGTTCCTGCATACGTTGAACAAATAAATTTAGAATACGTAATTGGTTGACGAGAGAGATGGAGATAAAGACAAGGATGAGCATGCATTAATTTCATACTTTACGCTGAAGATCGGTAAGCTGATCTAGCATGGTCTGGGTCTGCAGTAAACAAAAATAAATTTGGTAGTTCATTACTATATATCATGAAATCACGTTACACTTTTAACATACACATAGTTAAAGGACAAGACATCTTTACATTTGTTAGCATTTAAAACATAAAGAAAATTGATGTTATACCTAATACATCTGCATTTTTCTTATCGATTTATCAATTGCCACATAAGGAGTCATGTCACCCAGATTAAAAGGAATCCAGATATTTAGCATTCATTTCCTTGAAGCGAGAGGAAATATATTCACATAGATTCTTAACACCATTTAATTAATAAAACAAATCAGAAAGAGAATTAAAATGGTCTGGCGGTGAGGTCAAATACCCTTGTTGATCTGATCTGCTTCAATGATATATCTAGCTGCCTTTCAAGTGATTCGAGCTCTTTGCTGCTTAAAGCTCCTAGTTCTTCTCCCATAAGATTTCTAGGATAACAAAGGGCGAATGCATGATTCATAAAGGTCTTTTCAGTCATTGTCTAGCAAAATGATCAGGACATGATAGTAATAATAACCTATGATTCCTCAGCAGGGTTTCATAACGCGCCTTAAGCTTCAAATATTCCTGCTGGCTACTCAGTTCCTATGTTTTACAGCAGTAAAGAACGTTTAATTAGGGCAAGCAAAAATGAAATAATAACACCAATGTGACATCTAAGGCAAATGGTGGATCTAAAGCTCCTACATGATTTACCATTCGAATCACGACTCAAACTTTTTACTACCATATTTTTTCTCATAAAAATTCAAATTTAATTTTTTCTGTTATTGTATTTTCACACACATAAATTCATTTTTTAATTCAAATTCTTAATTTAAATAAATGAAATGAACGAAGCCTAATCTATTAGTGTGATAGAATAGCTACCTCCTCATAATAGCTTTAGGTTATCGTGTTTGTTAGAACTTGGAAAGTATTATATATGCACAGTACTTCTCCTCAAAGTATTGCTAGCCCTCAAGTTATTTGCCAGAATCTTTTAATTACCTGAAGCTAAACATCTAGGAATACTTGGATTATTAAGATAAGCAACTCGGTGATCCAGAAAAGAATGCACAGAAATGCAACCTTGCATTATCTATACGCCATCTTATCTATCACTATTATGCATGCGATTCTTTTTTATTCACGCAAAAGTAGTTACACTTCTATTGTAGAAACCTACCATGCATTCTCCATTATCTCAATAAAGCTAATATGTCAACTAATGATCTAGTGCAAACGTGTAAATATTGGAACTTCCATAAATGCTTATGTATCTTAAATAGACCTATAAACAAAGAGATAAACCATTAGTTAGTTCTAAGGAAAAAAAACGGATTCTGCTTCTTATTTCCCTCTCTTCAATTAGTCTTTTTGGCTAAACGATATTTGTGATATATTAATATGCTTTATCACTAATTGTGTTTGTTTTGCACTGCCCTCCAATCATGACCAGAAATACAATTATTATCTTCTGCAAAAAGAAAGTGAAATAGGTTTACCCTCTCAACACGTATATACTTTAAATGACTTCTCTTCCCTAGACCTAAAATATAATTATTTGACAAGACAGGAAGTTTCACAAAACTCACTTTTCAATGACACATATACTTGGATTTTAATAGTATAATATAATTTTGGGCTGGAGTCTTTTACTATATATAATTATCTTTGAAAAATGACTCAAGTTCAAGTCTTTACACAAGCAAAAACGCTTGTAGGCTTTAATTTAGCCCGTTCGATCACATTTAGATTTCGATGCAGGTCACTTCAAGTAATATAGAGATAAGTGTGAAAATAAAAATAAGTATAAACTGAAAAGTCGAAATCAGCCATAATGAAAAAAATACAGGTGAGTAAGGGCATGTGAATTACTGAAATTATGGCCAATAGCATTAGAGTAAGAGATTTTTGCTATTGAGCTTGTGTAATCACTTTTCCCGATATGTCAAAAAATATCATGAGGTTGTCTACTGTGTACATAGGATTTGATGTCAAACTACGTGAAATCTCGTGTTAATTTATTTGCATAATAACTTTAGTGCTAGATTAATCGTTCTTTGTCTGTTTTAATTTTCTGTGTGATTCAAGATTTGACATCATCATTATCTTCAACCGTCTCACTAACGTGACTAATCACATTTAGTTAATTATTTTTCTGTACTGCATTTTATTTTAAAAATTTGATATTCCCCCCCCCCCCCCCCAAAAAAAAAAAAAAAAAAAAAAAAAAAAAAAAAGACTGAAAGCTGGTCTATCACTCTATCAATTTATGCACTGACTATGTTACAAGATATAGGCAACCATGAACAAAACACGAAAGATATATATGAAAAGATCAATGCATTGTTTATAATGAAATTAGTTAATCACAATCATTACCAACGCTTCTCTTGCAGAAACGTTAGGCTCCGGGGCTCCATAATTGCTCTTCTGATACCTCTCAAGAGTTTTCAACATGCTGTGTCTCAACATAAAATTGAGCATGTAAGATATATACTAATTCGTGAATCTCCGAGATCATATTATTCAGCACTATACATTCATCAATCAATATAATCTGTTTTATTTTGGACTCTTGAAAACTTGAAGTGGCTATTCTTACAATATTAAATAACAAGAATTCTTGGCTTATAACTTGAAAGAGGAAAGTGAGTAATAACTATAAAAATAACAGAGTTAACTCGTTAAACTGAAAGTTATCGTTTTTCAGGAATTTAAGTCATGTACTAATTAAATTGTATAGGGTCTAAGAAGACATAGAAAAGTATTTTATATCATATAGTGCTAGATGGCCACAAAAAACGAAAAACAAAAATGCACCAAAAGAGATGATTATGAACTTTTCTTCTTTAGCTTCATTCATGTTTGCTCACAGGTTTAATAATTTCTTTAATTAATTTTTTTGTATTCACACACTGATTATGTTTTAAAGATTGAATAATTTTGTAGAAGAATTCAGATTGAAAAATTTATTTACGCCCTCAAATATGTTATTTTGTTGACTCTTCAAGTTCTAGCATCCTCTTATTTACTCTAATTAATTACATGGATCTTTTTGCATCAAACCTCAGAATCCGATTAATTTTGTGCTTCATTGTTTACAACCAGGGTCTAAGTTTGCTTTTATAATATTGTTAAAAAAAGTTTGCTTTTATAATATTTTCGTAGTGCCCTTGTAGTACTTCTCTATAGAACACACATTTTAATTAATATACATATTTACTTAATCTGTCCGTAAAATAAAATGAACAATGAAAACATGAAATGAAGATCTAACGAAAAAATTCCTAAAAAAATTCATCAATAAAATTATATTATATTGTAATATGGGTTTCCGTCCTTAATAAGGCGTATTCAACGATTTCACTTTTTTTTAAAAGATAAATATGACAATTTCATTAAAAAAACTATCAAAAGATTAGAATACATGACTGCACTAAAGCCATAAAAATGAGTGTCAATCACAAGACTAGACATTAGAAACGCATCCTTAATTCAATAACAGGGAAGACTCCTCCCGGAAGTGGCTCTATAACATTTAGCCATGAAGAATCGACTCAAAGTGAGGTAGATTCTAATTCTGTAATAGACCTCACACATACATACCTCATACTGACATTTGTTAAATCACTTAAAAAAATAATTAGCTTAGATAATTTAATTAGCTGAAAAAGAGGAATAAAAAAAAACGAAGCCACTATGAAGAAAGTAAACCCTAGAAATCAGAAAGATTGTCGAATGTCTCCTGTCACCTTGTGTGATTGAATAAATATCCTCGTCTGCGTTCTGAGAGAGAGAGAGAGAGAGAGATTGAATCGATGGATGGAAAGACATGAAAACCCTGAAAGTGAAGGACCAATCTGAAGCACAGAAAGATTTCATGGGAATCTTATAGCCATAAGCAACCTCTGAGACCACCGTCGAACGGAAGAAAAACCTCGAGAGATCATATCGATTAGAAAGCATGGAAAGGACGGCCAAAAAAAAAATCAAAGCTTTAAACTTAACTACACATGAAAATCCCCATGAAAAATTGATCAATTTTGCAGTGAAGGAACAGAGAAATCTGAGGTCGAGAAGGAGACTTACGTAAGTGAAAAAAATAAGTAAATAAAATGGAAAAAATAATTAAAAATTAGCACGTGCAAGAGAAGACGAAGTAGATTACCAGAGGCATACGAATTAGCCAGAACTAGGTAAAGTAAACCCTAGCGAAGAGCTTTTCGAGCAAATCTATAAGCAAGAAAGAAAGAAATGAAGAAGAATTGCAAATGAAATTAGGTTTTAACAGAAACCTCGCTTGATTTATGGAAGAAAATGAAAGAAAATTAAATGGAATTTACCATTAAGATCGACCAGCCTTCAAATTCTGGAAATGATTATGACCAGTTCGGATCTCTTGGATCGATAATCAAGCCATTAATGGAGTGCAAAAAGAGGGGAAAGAGAAAAGGAAAAAGACAAGAACTTTGGGTTAAGGAAAAACGCTATAAACACACAGAGAATTGAAAGAGCCAACACAACAGTGATTAATCTATCTTCTTTCTCTTTTATGGCGTTTCCAGTTTCAGATCTAACAGCGAAGCCAAACAACACAGACACTGAAAGCCTGCTAAAAACGCCGAGACATTCACAAAAACGGAAATAAAGAAAAGAAAAAAAAACGAAAACTTTTTCCTCAACAATTCTCATGCCGAGAGTGATGAAAACAGCAAATTCGATCACGGATCGGAAAATTTGCAAAAAAACTCAAAAAACGAGAATCTTTTTCTCCTCTCTCTCTTTCGATATCCTTTTGGTGTTTTATGTATATATCAAATTTGGTACTTTTTCTTTTGTTAGTGAATATGTTATATATATATATATATATATTGTGTGTGTGTGTGTGCGTGTGTGTATATATTATATACCTTGAGCTACTGCAAAACTCGTACAGTTTTCCTCTATTGGAGAAGACGATGAGAGCAACTTCGGCATCGCAAAGAACGGAAAGCTCGTAAGCTTTCTTCAAAAGTCCATTTCTTCGCTTTGCGAAGGTCACTTGCCTGTTGATCTTGTTCTCAATCCTCTTCAGCTCAACTCTTCCTCTCCCCATCTCTCTCTCTCTCTCTCTACCTTTCTCTCTCTAGAAACACACAAAAATCTCTCTCCAAGGAAACCAAAACAAAACAAACTCAGCTACCAAGTTTTTTCTCTTTCGGTTTTTTTTTTCCCTTACTAAACCTGGCTATATGTACACCGATATTTATATCACTCTCAAAATCAAATAAGCTTTTTCTTGAGAAAAATGGGAAATCCCTCTTTTTCTTTGCCCTAATATTACTTTCTCCCTCTAGATTTGCTTGGTTTAAGACGCGGTTTAAGAGTTAAGACAAAAGATCTATTCACAGTCGTAAGAGCAAAAAAAAACTACCACTGAGCTTTTTTAACGTCCTCTTCTTTACGCAATTGCGTGTAGAATTTGTTTTTGTTTGATCATGATTGGGAAAACGGGTGGATGAGATCAAGGGAATATCGCACGTGAAGAGCAGGGGATTATAGCTACACCGATGGAAACGGAGGATATTTAGGAGAATCCACAAAAGTGGGGAGATATTATTCCCATCAGTGATATGCCACGTGTCGACAGACTAAGTCAGGAACCCCTGATGACCCACCTGACAAATCTCCGGCTCGGGCAAATTGTGTGACCCAAACCTTGTGAGCCTCGATCTCGTATTTAAATGCTTTTACAGAAATGCCCTTTCAGGTAATTATTACCTGTCTGTTGACCCATTTTCACCTCTTCGTAGGTCCGACAATATGGGTTACGATACGACTCGAAAACGACACGAATTTTATAGGTTATGGTTGAGAAAAAAAAAGTTCGGGTCAAAATTAGGTCGACCTGATATTAACACAAAAAACACAGGTTAATTTCAGATTGAACCCGCTTAACCCGAACACGACACGAAACACGTAAAAAACTAAAAAATACATATATTTTTCATTGCATAGTTTAAATTTTATTATGAACTTGTGATATCAAGGTAGTTATATTCAAAATCTTATACTATTATTTGCTTAATTTCTATGGGTGTTATTGTAATTTAGTGTGTTATGAATTTTAAGTTATTTTTAATATGTAAAAAACTAAATAAAAGTATACAATTTTCGTGTCAATTTCGGCTTCACGGGTCAATTTCATGTCACAGGTCATTTTCAAGTCATGTCATGTCAACTCGTAAAGTGGTCGTGTTCGTGTTGCGGTTTTTAAAAAATTTTGAGTCACGGGTCGTGTTTGGGTTGACTGTAAATTTAAAAAGAAATGATCAAAATACGACACGAACACGACACGTGACACGACTTACCACCCCTACCCTTTCCGTGGTTCATCAGTAAAATTTATTCGTCAGAAACACATAGAATATCTGTTTTTTTCTTTTCCTTAAAAAATGCTAGTAACTCTATAACTCTCAGATGGTGTAGCAATTGTGATCTGTATATTAAGGTCACCTCAGGGGTTTACTTATGAATAACTCTATAATTCCAAATCTTGTGACCCAACAATCAAATTTTTTTGGCAATAAATTCACCACGATAATCTATTATCGCTAGGATCACCCCACTCGGTAGTCCAATTACCACCACATTTGGTCCATCGATGATGGAACCACAGAGAAGATGGTAAGGTGGATGTATGACTCAAATTTTATCCACTTTGCAATGTGTATAGCCTAACGATAAATTCACACTTGACTACATATTAAGGTTTAAGATGTAAGGTTAAAATTATCCATCCCAAAGTTTGAAAAAAAAAAAAAAAAACCTAATCACTTCAGCGTGGGGGAAAAAAAATAGAGATAGAGATAGAGATAGAGAGAAAAAAGAACTAGCAAAGAATTTGAATTTGTTGTATTGAATGTAGTTGGTTAGATATGTAAGCAAAATACATTATTGTTATAAATTCAACTAAAATGAAGCACATGACAATAATTTGTACCATCATTTTTTTTATGATCATAATTCGTACCACAATATCGGTTCACAAAATAAACGGGTTCAATTTTGTGCAATATGGTGTTGTAAACCAGCCACCCACTTGACCTGATAATTATTGATCAAATTGTACTTTCAACTCTTTACTTATAAACTCAAATATCTTTTATTATGATTTCTTCGGAACAAAAGTGCTTTAAAAAGAAGTCTTGCTGCATTTGGCCGGTTGAGTACACGACGAACATGAGTCTTTTATTTATTTATTTATTTATTGCTATAAGATGTGTGTGAACCTAAGCTTGATTATATTACTGTTCTTATAACTAATTTCTATTATACTAACATGAATAGAAGTTCCGACATTAAATATCTTAAACTTTCTGACTAAATTAATATAATTTGTTAATTTTTAGAGCTGGCTACGATTAATTAAGGCCAATTAGTATGTTACAAAAGGAGTTATTTACTGCTATTAGGAGCAGAGAAATTAATCACCATCTCAGTTCACAAACAAAATAAAACCTTTTTTTTTTTTATTTTCCAGAATTGCCTAGACAAACATGAATTAAAGCAATATCATCTCTCTAATAACATGGTAATTCTACTTGGTCTTCTTCTGCATGGAATGGCTGTACTAAAATGATCGTATAGCTCTAATATTCTCCATATATATATATATATATGCCATATAAGTTATGTACTAAAGTGTTTATTATGGACATGGCAAATAAAGAAATATTTCTTTTGCAAAAAAATGAAAATTGGTTTACAATTCTCAAGTTTAGTCACAGAAAAGGGAAATGATCGGTGAGATAATATATATAGCTCACTCTGACCAGTCGTAATTTGACAAAAACACAGAATGTTCTTTTTTTTTTTTTTGGCTGGAAATGCATGTGATCACATTCTTAAGAAAATGGGAAAAGTGTTTGTTTCTATAGTAGTACTCTTAGAATCGATACCAAAGACAGCAATAATATTAATATTATATATATATATATATACAATGTTGTGACTCAAAACTAAGGTTGACAATTTGCTTGGAATGTGCACGAAAGTATACTATACAGAGACTTATGCTTCATCTTTTTTGTGCCACTTGGTTTTAAAGATTAAAGCAAAAGGGGAGGTATTTGCATGGATGACTCGTTACACTATAACCAAAATACAAAAATATTAAACTCAAATAAAGACGAACTATGTTAGTGAAAATGATCACGAGTTCGACTGATCATGATCTGCATTGATCAAGTAAAATCTTTCTCATGTGTTTTCTTAAGCTCCGTTCATTTTACCAATTAGAGTTTTGCTACAGTAAAAAACTCTCATAAATAATCACATCTAACTTTTTTATTACAGTAAAAAACTCTCACATAAAATCACATCTCAACTCGAATCAACGAACTAAACGGGTCTTTAATTACCTACTTAATTTTTTTTTTACACGGTAGAGACTTATAACTCCCATTTTATTTAAGAAATGAAACCCACCGACTCCCAGATTTGAATTCTAGTGGACACGTGCACCCAACAATTAGCCTCAAATGACCTCTTTAAGTATATACTTATTTGAGTTATTAGTCACTTGAGGTTTTGGAAAATATCTCAGGTTATCATATGTAAAGTGGGATTCAGATTCCCTATCCAATTTTGATATCCCATATAGTTAGTCTTAATGACTTCTACATGCTTTTCTGTTTGAGACTTGAGTTTATAATAAATAATGGGACATGATAGGTTAAGTTAGACATCTTAAAATTAAATAGGAAATTTCGTCAGAGCCAAAAAAAAAAAAAAAAAAAAAAAAAAAAAAAAAAAAAAAACGAAACTTCATGTGAGTGCAAGTTTTTAGTTGAAAATGTAGATAGCCACTTCAAATTAGCTCATCTAATTTCTAATCTACCCTTACGGTTAAACTTTTATTCTCATAAATAACTTAAGCATATATATTATAAGCTGGAAAATTATATGATACATGTTTATATAAATGTAAGTATTGTACTACTTTTTGCCTGACTTATAGAGGAAAAATGAGGCTCGAGTACCCTAACACATGTACATCAAAGCGTGTAATCATCAAGACGGAAGTACGATGATATAAAAAGCAGGTCCAGCATCTATACCGTATACATACGTACAAGGTAGGATTTATGTTCCTTTTTTTGCCAGATCTCTTTACCAATTATCTTTGCTCGATCGTGTGAGACGACCGAAACCAAATATACATAGTTGGCAATATATAAGTCCTTAATTCACCTAATATATGTTTTATATATCTCTTCATCAACGGTCTTTCCTCACGTAAAAACGTTGTCGTATATGTAGTGTAATGCAAAAAGGTTACAAACTTATGTAATATTCCATTGGTGATGATCATATGGAGTGTGTGGGGACCAATACGCTTGTGTTCAGACAAAAATCAAGGGGCACATGGGCTTCTCCTCTGAAAGCTAAGTTACTTACAATATATGTTAAAGTGTGGTCCACATTAAATGTTACAGCAGAAACTGGCATATGTGTGGACCTTTTGGAACTGGCCAATCATCAATTAAGGTACCATATATCTGAAGAGAATAATGCAAAAGGCTAACAAGAAAATATATATATATATATATATATTCGATCTCTGTATATATCATGAAGGTCAAAGGTTTTTCTCTTTTAATTTTTGTCTGTTTGCTTTGTGGAAAACGACATTTAGCTAGTGGGGGGGCTTAATCTACCTATGGATGATTTGGAAAATGGATATACATGTGAGTTCCTATTGCTTTCCCTGACTAGAGATAGAAACCATTACTGTAATTTCAATCTTCTTTTTTGTCCCTTATAACCAGTGTTATAATCCAGTAATATCGCCAGAGAGGGAGGTATTATTTTGCTTTCAACATTTATATACATATATATGTGTGTTACAACTCTCAGTTTATAAGCATCTATATATCATCGATTCGAGTTTTATTACAGTAAAAGCTCTCAGAAACAGTCACATTTAACTTTTTTGTTACAATAAAAAGACTCTTACATAAAATTACATATTAACTCAAATTAAAAACTCAAATCAGCAAACTAAACGGGCCTATATTATACCAACCTAGCTACAACTTTAACTCGGTACACGGTATTTCAATTATATATACGCAAAAATAAAACCAT